CCTCGGAAACCCTGTACAGGGTCGCTATAGGTCGGAACCGACTCGACGGCACTTAACAACAACAACAACTTCCCTAACACACGCTGGGGGCTGGTTCAGGAACCAAATATGACAAGTACCAGCACTGCCTCAGGATGGGGCCTCTTTCTTCCTTCTCATAGGAAACTCCTTAGGAGTCACTTTCTCCATGTTGGCAATTGCTGTTGTTAGTGCTGTCGAGTAGGTTCCAACCCACAGCGACCCTGTATAGGGTTTCCAAGGAGCAGCCAGTGAGCTTGAATTGCCCACCTTGTGGTTCAAATGACTTTGCAGTCCACCACACTAGGACTTTATGTTAGCAAAGCTGCTATTTACTGAGTACACCCTGTTGCAGGAACTTTAAGTATGAGTCTTACTAAATCATATCCACCTAGTAAAAACAGTGTGGCTATCTCCATTTTATAGAACAGGAAGTTGAGACTCAAGTTAAAAGACTTCCCAGGGTTACACATCTAAGAAGTAATAAGAGTCAGAATTGTACCCAGAGCTGATTACAAGAGTCTTGAGTTTCTATCACCACTGAGATACATGCTTTATGTTACTAAAACTTTCTTGAACAAAAACATCAGAGAAGTAACCTAGTGCTCAAGAAAACATCAGAGAAGTAACCTAGTGCTTACCAGCTCACCACTGGTTGGCTCCCAGCAGTGATTTAGGCCCAGCTCTAGTGATTCCTCCTCCCATCAGCCATAGCCACCATTCAAGGCAATTTTCTTCTTGGTTATCTTTTAGTGTGTCTGTAATAAATTGAAGCTAGTTTGCTTTGTTGAAGGGACTATGCTGAGGAAGACAGCCCGCTATTGCAGCAGTGACCTGTGTGCATACTTCATGCTAGTCAGACTCTCCCACAGAAAGCACTTTAGTCGACAACTATGGGAGGAAATAATGAGACCCACTGGCATGTTTTAGAAACGAAGACCCCAAAAGGTGATGCCATTTGTTCAAGATGGTCCAGCTTGTGACTCTGAGTGCTAGACTTCTTTTAATACTACACTCAGCTTTATAGCAAGATAGATTGGTAGCTAGGAGTTTTTCAGTGTCTGCAGAGGGTTGTTGCTTGCAAGAGGCCTCTCTGTGCATGAACATGGGTGGTGGTGGAGAGGCAGCAGCTGTGGCATTTGTCAGGAAGTGAGTGTTGCCCGCTTGTCAGCAGCAGGTGGCAGTATGAACAAGAGAATCAGTACACATTTTTCATGAGCCACATTTTCATCAGCACACATTTGAGACATGTGGACCTCAGACTGTAAACACCTGTTCTGGGATTTTTGTCTTTAATTCAATATTTTGTTCTTCAGGGATAACTTTGTAATACTTTTGGGTTTTTTTTAAACTATGCATTCAAATAATTTCTTGAGTACTGAAATTTTCCTTGGCACGTCTTAAATTTTGTCAAGTCCCTGAATGGTGCAAACAGTTAACATGCTTAGCTGCTAACCTAAAGGTTAGAGGTTTGAGTCCAACCTGAGGTACCTAAGGAGAAAGGCCTGGTGATCTATGTCCCCCCAAAATCAGCCATGAAAACCCTATGGGAGAATAAACAAGATGGTGGATTGTGTGGATGTGCAATGAAGAGCTCCATCAGCAACAACACATAATACCAGACCAAGCAGGCTCAGGGGATGGTGCCAGAATTCTGAACCACATATAAAGGAATATTTAGAAGGTTGGAAGGCTTACAGTTAGGGGAATTGGTAGCAGAAGCAAGAAATCTATTGCTGTCTAATTCAAGACACTCAGCTACTCCCGGAGCTGCCATCTTGGGTGAGACCAAGAGTGGGAAGGATCAGAGCAGCCACAGATGCCTGACAGAACTGCAGAGATAAAGAAGAGTGAAAAGGGAAGCCCATCTCCTGATTACATCTACCTGGAGGCAATCAGAAAGCATAAACGATACCAAAATACACATCCATCTAAGTATTAAGGCCACAAATAACTCCTGAATATACCCCCAAAACAAAAGCAGATGACCATATCAGTACATGTCCAGAAATTAGATAAAGTGAATGAGGCAAATGAGCTAGAAGTAGACCTACACTCCATACTGAAAGATGGGCAGGTTTTGCAAATGCCAGAGAAGGAATTCAGAAAAATGATTATAAAATGTATCAAAACAGTATACAATGGAGTTGAGAAAAATAAGGAAGAAGTCAGGAAAGCACTACAGAAACAATCAAGTAAGATAGCTACAGCATTGGAAAAACTCAAAACCTACAAAAAGAGGTCCAATTGATTAATAATTGAATATCAAAAATGGATAATACACTGAAAGGGCAAAGGAGTAGAACTGAAGAGATAGAAGCCAGAACTAGTGAGCTAGAAGATAAATCTCTCAACATTACTAAGATAGAAGAGCAAACACAAAAAAAGGATAAAAAATCTGAAAAAGGCCTAAGATTCATGTTGGAAAACATGAAGAGGAATAACTTAAGAATTATCGGCATTCAGAACAGGAAGAATCACACAAGTCCACAGAGGAGATAGTTGAAGACCTTCTGGAAGAAAATCTTCCTAACATCCTGAAAAATGAAATGATAAGCATTCAAGAAGCTCAACGAACCCTAGGAAGGATAGACCCTAAAAGACAATCACCAAGACATAATAATCAAGCTCTCCAAAATCAAAGGGCAAAATCCTGAAAGCAGCTAGGAAAAAGAGAAGTGTAACATACAAAGGCAATCAAATCAGATTAAGCTCGGATCTCTGAGCAGAAACCATGCAGGCAAAAAGGCAATGGGGAGATATATAAAACCCTGAAAGAAAAAAAACTGCCACCCAAGAATCCTCTACCCAGCAAAGCTGTCAATCAAATACGATGGTGTAATAAAAACATTCCACGATAAACAGAAGCTAAGGGATTTTGTCACAGCCAACCCTGCTATGAAAAACATCCTAAAGGAAGTTCTGTGGACTGAGAACCAATAAGAACAGACAACAACTAGAGAATGACATACATGGCAGCATCACCGTGAACTTAATCAAAAAATGGAAGAGTCAAGAACAGAATAAAATTGTAAGAACAGAGGATCTGGGAGGTCAGGCTATGATCAAAACAATTACAATGTGAAAAAAGGTAAACACAGAGGAATAAGAGATCCAGGTGGTGGGAAGGTCAGATAGACTGTCTTAAATGGAGGGAAGAATTAATGGGATATAAGGTAACCACAACAATGGCGTTTAGTTTGGGTGTTGGGGAGGGGCAATACAAGAAGGGGGAGAATTTGGAAGAACAAGATAGAGGGGGAACACTGAGACAGGTTTGCATGTCCTAAGTGAGACACAGGTAAATAGTGATGCATGCTCATCCTTGGAACAACAGGGCTCTGGGATACAGGGATCTAGGTATAGTTTGAAGAGGGGAAATAATACTAAAATGCTTGACTGTCTTATGAATATTAGTTTCCCTTGCCTACTGTTGTAAAATAGACACTTGAGTGGGATAGAAAGGAATGTTGGGAAAAACGATTACAGAAAACATGTAAGCCCATCTTCAGCCTATAACTGATTGGGGTTCTAGAACTTGCCCAGTGAAATAGGCCTCGTGCAAAGCCTTTACAGAGTATAGGACCTTAGGTAGAATCTGAGTCCCATCCAGAACCTTATGAGGTGGGACATTCCCACTAGAAAGGATAAGCAGACCAGCCTGGAACAGCTATAGTGACAGAAGATACATCTTCAAAGAAAGATCAGCAGAAAAAAACCAAAACAAAAATGTCAGCATGACAAATTTCTGATATAAGTAATTCTCAAGTTGAGCACTGAGTGGCTACTAATTTGCTACCCCTGCTAGAGATTAAGATCCCCTAAGAACATGATTGAACCTCAGCATAGTGATCCTGCTTGGTCA